AAACATGGCACGATATCCATTCATCCCTAATCGCTCATTTTGAAAATCTCCACTCAAAATAAATCCCAAGCGATCAAAATGAATCATTTTATAGAACTGAATATTTCCCGTCATCCCACGCCGCCCACCAGTCAGTCTACCAGCTGGAAATAAGCATCAGCAAACCAGCAGTGATCAATGGGATGACAACTGGAAAATGAAATATCATCTTACGATTAGTCACGATGGCTATCGCACTCGTTTCCAATGAAACAATATCAAATTCAGTTGCACATTTTGTTCTGCTCAAATTTTCACAACCGAACAGTATCACTGATTAGATTTTTTCTCTCCTTATCATTAATAACCGGTTTACTCAACCACTAAAATAGAACTTCCAAAAAACCGGAACAAAACAACTGATGAAGAACGAACAAATCACTATTTTAAGATATTAGTGAAGAAAAAACTTCGGAAGTGAAAAAAGAAGATATGCGCGATTTCAATCAATCGTTATTACTTAAACTCAACCGAATCACATCAAACAAATCAAAACCAAACAAAATACAACCAAATAAAATCGAATATGAATCTGATCTCATAGATGAGTGCAACAAACGGATTCTTGCGCCAAGAAAGGATAAATACTACGCCTGCATGTATAAGACTTTAGCGAGTGAGTCCATATTAACATTTACGTCCGGATATTATAAAATTGTTATTATTAACACATAAAGAGTCCACTCCACTCCATTCCACTCCACTTCCACTACCAAACATGTCAATCTCATTAATATAACATGATGATCCACGCACACAACCAAGAATTTCACTCAATCATTCATGAATGGATGAATAGATGATACACGGACGAATATGCGCAGGTTTGATGGCAACGGCAAGCGATAGACAGAGCAACGTAATCTCATGAGGGATAAATTGTACAGCATTTGTGGATGGATGTTAGATATGCGTTCATGACCGCATTCATTTACCTTGTGGATAAAGATTTCGCACGTAATCAGAGAAGAGTGGTGGTGAAAGGAGGATTTGCAACAGTCTAGACAGCAGCCAATGTCCGTCCATGTTTCGGTTCAAATTCATTCATCCCTTTCGATATTTCAGCACCGAACTCATAAGTAATCTCTGAGGCAATTCTGATGCGCATGTGATAAATCGCCAGGTTGCAATGGAACAATTTCGATTTGTGAATAATCGTTCATTTCGATGGACAAACAATCTTTGCATACTTCCAAAGGATCGTACACATAAACGAACGACTGATAGTGAGATTCGCCTAATTGATCATAATCAAATCGAATGATCGATTAATTGCATCGTTAGTCTAATTGTTGGTTACAAATGCAATCCGAGAGTATAAAAACGAAAATTGAAATAATAACATCGCGATTTCGATTATTCAGACAGAAGTTTTGCATCGAACATGAAGAAAACATCAGCGCAAACAGAAACACTTTAAACACTTACAATGAACGTGAATTCTGCGCTGTGCTGAGGTCCATGACAGCCAGCTCGAATTGCTGCGCCATTCACATGTCCGAATTTTATTATATCGCCTGGTTTCAGTTCAGTCGGACCTTTCGCCTTCAATCAACATTCAACATTCAATGAACTGTGAAGCATTCAAATACCAAACCGCATGAGAACAACTGAACATCTGTATATACACAATTCGCTCTTTAGGCTAACACGTTGTCAACAGACGCAAACAAGCTAAACGAAAAGAAAAAAATTCCTTAAATTTTATGGCAATGAATAAATCTGAATGTATGAATAACCCAAGCATAAGGATGAAATGAATCAGTCAAAAAACTGCACTAAATCTCAAAGCAGTCTGCATGCGTATCAACCAAACACAACGCATTTTCAAAAGATGCAATTTCGTGGATATACTTTTTCGGTGACAATGCTCGCTAAAAGAATGAATAATCAAATGAATGCTCAAAGAGATGAATGCAACAACCTACTCGATAATCGTTTATGTAAGTACCATTTAACGATTGATCAGTAAGAATGTAGACGATACGAGATTTATCTTGTTTCGCTACGATGGTCGAGTGAATTCGCGATATCATATTGCTAAAATCCAAGAAATGTTAGCATCATCACTGATTTTATTATTATGATCAATATTACTGTTATTTATATTAATATTATTATTAACATTATTATCAATATTACTATTATTATTTTATTATTCTGTATTGTTGTTGGTTTCATGAATTCATCATTTTATTTGTTATTTGTTTTAACATTATCACTGAATAGTATTGCTACTATTGTTAAAGACATTTTGCTATTACCAGCAGTAGTGACGATAAGAGCAATCATGCCTCGAACGATAGCAAATCATGAGAAAATGAATTATTCAGTGGCAATGCCCACTCGTTGGTGTCATTAAAACAATATTAATCTCCAGTAACACTAAGGGAATGTGTACCGCAAAGTCGACTGAGCATTATTATCGAAACGNTTTTTCATGTTGCAATCAATTCGTATCGATTATGTACGTTGCAAAAATGAGAGGAACATCATTCACTGTGGACAAACTTGACTTTAAAACTTGACTTGCGCAATGAGCACATTTGAATTTGTTGACATTTCTCATCGCATTTTCATTGATAAGACAGAATGAAGTAAAAGTGATTAAAAGAGGAAATTAAATTTTCAATCAGCGGTTCATTAAACGTCTACGACCTTTGCAGAAGTAGTGCTTGCTGTCTAAAAATAACCTAAATTGTTCAGTTCGTTGCAAAGGAACATCTCCAAATACTGGGTGATGAACAAGCAGAAATTCACAGTCCATTCGGCATGTATTCACATCTGACCACATCTCTGATCTTACACATAGGTCATTCAATGCAAAATGGAAACATAAATGTAATTTCGATGCAGTACAACGCTAACGAATTGAAAAAATTGCTGCTGATTAACTGTGATTGTATTTAGGCGAATGAGTGCATGAAAGTTCAGAGTGCTCACTTGATAACAAACGGATCAAGAGAAATCTTCAAAGATACCAAACAATCTTTTACAGAACCGTTAACATGATGTGTGATTCAAGAAGACCGCTTTCCAACTATCCAATGGTGCAAAAAATTGTCATTAAGAGCATTAAATAAGCAATAGAGAGCGATTGGTGAATTCGGTTCATTTGTATCATTTTATTTCTGTGATCACTTTCTGCTTTGTGCATGATGAATGATTAAGAACTTCGTCTCGATTCATTGAAATCATTGATACTATCATGAGTATATCAACATGAGCGCTGAATCATAAAACTGCTATTCAATCCAGGACATCATACGTTCGAATGAGTAATCCAGTCACCGAGATCAGCCATGTGATTATCAATGAGAAGCATATAAGGCGCGATGAACGAGAGCAACGCAAACAATCTGGTACGTATACATACCTATGAACTGTAGACGTGAGCACAACATCAACTGCCTCGGGATTCCGTCCAATTTTCGTGGTTTCGAGCCTTAAAGTGTTCAGCAGTCAGATTTAGCAACACCACATTGCCGATCTCATCTCATAGAAATGTCCAACAATTTGATTATTTCGAAGAAAATTTGAATCTTAATTAATGATACATCTAGTTCCAGTTACAACAGAGCACCAGAAGTTTCATGTTCAAAAACTTGCTGCTTCTTGAATTCATAGACATATTCCAATTGATACTATCATTTACTTATCGAAGTGAGTCAATTTGATTCATATTTATGTATCTTTTACGACATAAATCATGTGAACTAGTAGTAATAAATTGAGCAGACTGCAGCATGGCTGAACTCGCTCATTATATAAATCAGACATCGCAAACACTACTAAAACAATCACTTACAATAACACGGTTTCATCCTCAAATGCGCTGCTCGACGACGAACGCGAGTCACATCCAACGTTGAGTCGCCTTAACTGATACATCGCTTACAAAAAATAATATGCTGAAAGTTTGGCAAATTATTTTTCGACGAATTATTCGGTGATAAATTCACAATTAGCGGAAACGCATAGTAACAATAGAGAATGATTAAACGCGTTACGAGTAATAATTCGGTATCTAAACGCATCAAAATCGTAACATTCGATGAACAATGCTAGACACGATCCATCGAACAATTCTAGTGATTATTATTAAACTTCAATTCTATCACTTTTCATTTAGTTCTTGTCACGTATTTCCATCGATTTCATGTGAACTTTCTGCAGTTCACGCAATCAATGGCTCAGCCAGTAATTTTGAGAAAAATCCCCAAAAAAATTATTATCGGTGGAAATGGAACTTTTTGGATTACAACAACGATACAATCATAGACAGCATTTTCTTATCAAAACAGACACACAGTCTCAGAATAACGGAAGTAAGTCAAGATTTAATAAAATTTCAATGACAACATTTTAATGAGNATCCGGTTTATCTCTTAAATCCTTCTTGCCCATCGCAACTATCCTAAATATTTTAGAAGTACTTCAAGTGAATACGTGAAATCAATTAATGTCTCGTTAGCATCAATAAAGAGATAAACGAACAAATCGATAAATATCTCATGATGATAACAATAATATAGGATAATGTACAATGTGAATACAAATAATCAATACCACTCTCGAAATACCTAAACGAGGTCGTTGATGAGAGCAGAACTGGTACAATTAGATATATTTATAGTCAATAAGGAGATTGGATTATGATGATGAGGAATAGGAACGATGTCGAGAGATCAATCGATCGAACGAAGCAAATACCTCTGAACGAGACACAAGGGAACGGGGTCATTTGAGGCGCCTTTTCTCAGTTACTCGGCAAATTTATCGTATTGAATGGGCAGATACGACAGGTAATATGCTATACACGGACACGTTGATGTTCGAC